TTGGTGAGTTGGAGTCCGTTGACGGTAGAATATGGGGTGCTTGGGGGGATTGTGTTTGGGGGGGCCTATTTTCTTCGTTTGGGGAAATTTTTCCCCCGGTCCCAGTGCCACGGGATGAAACCAGAATAAAATTTTTTTATCCCGGTTTATATTTTCCACGCGGGATGGGGGTTGGCGTTAAAATTTTTTTTTTGCGGGGGATTTTTTTTCTTTCTATTTCTTTTTAAACCCTTTCCGTGACCTTTTCCCCCCCCCCCCCCCCCCCCAAAAAAAAAAAAAAAAAAAGGTTTCTGACCACTATTCTACACGCTGTTTGAAAGTTGTCTAACAAAGTTTGCTGCCTATAGTCACGGAAGCCCGGTATCGGAAAAGGGAAAGGACAAGGGGAAGGATAAAGATAAAGATGATTGAGATAAACCAGATCCAAGGTTTATGGGATTTAATTACGACGGCTATATCGATTTGATGTTGACTGGGACGATTGATCTTCAAATATTTATTTTTACATTGTTTTAAACTACCCCCTTTTGCCCGAAGAGCAGTTACTCACTGCCTTCCTGTTTGTGATTTTGCTCTACGGCTTAGTTCTCTTTGCTACAGGCGGGGGTGTTGGCGGAGACTAGACGTGTATTTTTAGCTCTTCATCTGTTTTCGCGGTTTTATTCTTGGATTTTTTTTTTTTTTTCTATCTGGCCTGAACGGTGCTGCCAGATAGATAAAACCTCAGAACGAAGCGGGGATGTTTCTGAATTTGGTTGTTCTTTCGAAGGCATCCCACCCCTCTGTTAAATCATTTGCTTTTCCGAATTCAACAAAGTATACCCTGCCAGCTATTATCCAGTTGCTACCTTGAGTTTGAGAGCGCTGTTTTCCAGTATCAGCAGAGCCTCTGCCCACAATACAAAATGCCTGTTTATCTGGTGCAGGTTGGCTTATATCCACGGATTCGATTGTATCTACGCGGTGATTCCTGACAGAATATGAAAAACGAACAGAGGAAAAGAAATGTAATTCAGAACTTGTTTTAATATCCGCAACATCCTCTCATAATCGCAGGGTAGGGGTAGGACACTTATTTCATTATCTGATCTTAAAACGCAAACGCCATGGACAAAAGTACGAGGTGGGTGTGCTGTGCTGTAGCGCATGTGTAGGTTGGTTTTGTTCGTTGAAGAGTCGTTTCTAATAAATTATAAAAACAAGTTCCATACAGTCCTTCCCATTCCCCCTTCAGCGAAACAGAACAAAACCATGCAAGAAACCAGCCAGCAGATACAGAAGCAGTATAAGGAAAAACCAAAATCTACTTCAGCTTCTTCTTTGGTCGGAGTTGGTTAGTGTGGCCACATTTCTTCTTTCGGCAGTTAGTGGCCCGGGGGGGGAGGCGGGCCTGGAGATATTGGGGTTAGTATGATTTTGCAGCCGGGGCTTTCACAGTCGATAGATGACGTGTTCGGGGAGGCCGGAGGAGTTTCACGCGAAGTCGTGGAAAGAGAAGGACTGATGAAAAGATTATAATGAAAAGAAAAGAATACGTACATAGCACTTCCGGCAGATCATCTTGTCGCAGTTGTATTTGCTGGCGAGGGCTCTGAGCGAGGGTTCGATGATACCACCACGGAGGCGGAGGACGAGGTGAAGGGTGGATTCCTATAGTTTCCGCATAAGGGTCAGTTAGATACTGTTTCCGAAACCAAAGATATATATATCCACTCTCATCCTCTCTTGCTTTCCACTCCACCCGATCCGCTTTCGTTGGCGCTTATCCAGCTGCAACATCATCATCCTATCAAAGTCCAACTGCATCTTCCATCTCCATCCTTGGGCAACAGGAATTCCCTTCATCCTCCATCCTCCCTCTCTTAATATTTCGTCACACAACCTCCTCCCATCTCCGCCCATAGTTTTCCCATCAACCTAATACCAAAAACACAAAAAGGGAAACCCCTACTTTCTGGATATTATAATCACTAAGCGTTCGGCCGTCCTCAAGCTGCTTGCCAGCGAAGATCAATCGCTGCTGATCAGGTGGGATACCCTCCTTGTCCTGAATTTTCGACTTTACATTGTCGATGGTATCGCTGGACTCGACCTCGAGGGTGATGGTCTTGCCCGTGAGGGTTTTGACGAAGCTGTTTGTACGGAACTTAAATCAGTATATTTTGTCTCCCAGCTCTCCCTTGCTTCTTGCCATTGCAATTTCCTTCTCGTTTGTCCCTTTTACACCTGTGTATCCGGGCTTTTCGCAGAGGGTTGTGGTTGGAGTTTGGGGGGATTATGTATGGAGAGCGCTTAGGGGTGGGCTTACATCTGCACTGTTACGGGTTAGAAGCCAAGAGTTAGCATTTCATTCACATATCCATATTCAGCGGCTTTCCCCGTATACAAAAGGCATATGCACTTACTGGTTGCTGATACTTTGAAAGCTCTGTCGTTGCTGGATGGGTTTGACTCTACACGTCTCTCGTCAACTTCCGACGTTGGGTCGCTGGCAATTGAGGACTTCGCTTAGCGGCGGGGTGCTGTGACATCGTCGTGGCCCTAAGGCTACTTTTGCCGTTTGGGACATGTCAGCAATTTGGACTTGACATGGTCAACGGCACATTATCTGTAACACTCCTTACGCAAGGACTTGTTT